TAGGCCTATACTCAATGGTGTAATAATAATAATAATATAATAATAATTTTTTTTCAAGTTCTACAAACTGGTTTTTAGAAAGAAATTGCAACATGTTATGTTTGAAGGTCAAAAATGGGAAAACAAATATTTACCGCATTAAAACGGGCACATAAAACTCCCTTCCCATTGTCCAATCATGCTAGTTGTTTAATGAATTCAATGAAGAAAAAAAAACGGAAATTTACACGTTTGTACCAAATTTAATAAAAATCGGTTGAATTTACTTTATGCTGTGCAGACATGGTACCTACCTTAGGTTTGGACACATACATAGGCCTATAAGAATTTGAACGGATGGTGTTTTTGGTCCCTGGAGATATCAAAACAAAAGAAATCGGTAATTTTGTACATTAAAGTGTTGTTGTAGGTCTAAAGGTTACTAAAAAAATTCCAAAAAACTGTGTAGGTACTGTATATTTAAAATTTCCATGTTATTTTTATGGTGAAAAGTAAACTTTTATAGTTTGCTTAATGGATATATTTTGTACAAATTTTGCAATATATTATTCCATACTCTCTACTAGGCCTGTTAACATTTTACAAAAAAAATGTCCTTTCCTGCAGCAACAAACCTAGGAACTCATGAAATTTAACGTTATTTAAATAGGGATTGAACCCGACTCATTTAAGGAAATAATTTTAGTAAAATTCAATCCGGCAATAGGAATTGCTTGAAACGGTAGTCTGCAAGTTTGCTGCTGCAGGGTTATTTCATCATGCCAGATTGTAAGGGCAAGTTAACTAAAACTTCATAATCCTTTTATAATGTTCCAATAAACTATCATAGTGTGTAAAAATAAATTTTCTCCTTTAGAAAAAAAAAATAGTTAAGCTGATGCACATCAGTGAATTATTTTGTTGTAATTTTTGCCAATAGCGTTGTTTAATTTTGAAGAAAATTCAAGATCGTAAACCTCTATGTGACACACCCGTTAGTTTTAAAAATTAGATGAACATTGAAGCGTTGACGTGTAAGTAAAATAGAATGTAACAAGAATATGAATTTGTTTGCAATATTATAAAACATAAACATTATATTTATTAAACAATGCATGATACCTCTATTTGTTGTGTAAGTTCGTGGGGGATCAATTTTGTTATGTATTGTCATATTGTGTAATGCTGAGTATGCAATTCGGACATTGTTTAGTTCAATACCGATGACGCAAAAAATAAGTATTCTTACCATAAAACTTGTTGACAACAATTTAGAACCCATGACATTGATTATCCAGTTACACATGTTTAACTACTTGTCTTTTTAACCCTCCACTCAAAAAAATTGTGAAATTTGATTAATAAATTATTTTACACAAAGTATACTATTAGTCCAAGATATATTGATAAATCTTCCTTAGGTTACTAAATTTCATTAAAACTTGTGGGGTATAAGCAGGCATATCTAGATAATGTAATGAATTCAGGGAATAAATATGTTACATTACCTTATTTTAATTAATCCTTGAAACATTTTTACCGCATGCTAGTTTTGTAACATAATTTGTAACTACAAGAGACATTTTTATAAGAACCATATGGTAAGTTACGCGGAATACAACATGCCACCATAGGCAAGCGTAGCATTATCAGCAATGAGGAAAACATGACATTAGAGCGATGATTTATTGTAAGAGTCATGGGTTTACCTATATTCATCCCCGGTCATGCTTTTACTAAATAATTAAATTTATGAAAACTAATTTCTTGACAAAAATATGTGCCATGAAGTAAAATTTTTAGTTAAAACCAACTTCCTAATGCTGTAAGCCTGCAACTTTGTTAGTTGTATCGACCTTGTAAATTGATTTTAAAACAATACCTTGTAATTTTCAATTTAAGTGGATACTCTTAAATTTTCACCCTTCATTTATTTGTTCACATTTTTATATAAGCTGTTCTTAGAAAATTGTAACTAGGCATTTTAATTAATTTTTGTGTTCATCAAAGTGTGTCAATTTTATGCATTTTGTTGGGGAATGATCCAAAGCCTGTTGTTAGAAAGCATCATATTTAGACCAATAGCAAAGTGTTGAATGGGAACCTTAGTAATTTAAAGGACTTGCCTTCAAGCTCTAAGGTTTGGTCCTAACAAAGATTAATCATGTACCTACCCATTTGTCCCTGGGCTGTTTATTAATGATGCTTTCAAATAACAGATTGGTGTTGAATAATCACAGATGGTTTATACCTTCTCTGTTGAAAAGCGTGAAAAGTTCTAATTGGTAATGTGCACAAAATAGAAAATAGGCCTACAATAAAAATTTCTACCTTTTTCTAACACAACTGTCCTTGGTTCAATAAAAAATGTTCCCTTTACCCCTTTAAATTGCTACAATGCCGCAGTCAAAAATTAACTTTTTGAGAACTATTTTGCTGAGGAGTTGCATGATTGATCGTGAATGTGGTTTCAGCTAGTCTTTGAATGGGAAATATGGAAAAACAACCTCTAAGAGAGAATGGTTCATCCATTCCATTGACCGTTCCTCCAAAACCGACTTATCAATCTGTTGGTGAGAAAGTAAGTCGCTAACGAGTATTGTTCACACTAGCTTTTCATCTGCACAGCTTGTTCGGTTTCGCTTTTGGTTGTGGTGGTATTAGCAGTCACAGGTTGTGCTTTGGTTGCAGTAGTGTGCATTAAACGCTTTACCGTTGTCGCTAATATTATTATTTTGCTTTCCTACACATTTTTCTCCCAAAAATAGGTAGCTTTCAAAATCATTACCGGGCAAATATAGTATTAAAACAGTAGTAGGTATCATACCCCATTTTGGCTAAATTACTTGTGAAATAATTTATAACTGGCCCTACTCCTTATATCCCACTTATTGATCTTTACATTTAAAAAAGTTTCTATGATATAAGGTTTAAGTTTTTTTTTTTATTTATATATATATATATACATTTAAAAAAAAACCTTAAACCTTATATCATAGAAACTTTTCATCATTAAAGAAGTTGAAGGTGTTGAATCATTAAAGAGGCTCTATATATATATATATATATATATATAGCCTCTTTAATGATTGTCGATTTATAGCAGTTAGAGGTTGGTAATATTAGGCAATTCCAACCATAAAGTCAATACACACTATACACAATACACAATAACGTTATGGCTTGCAAAAAAATTTAGATGCTAGTTTTTACTTTGGATGCGTTCTGTTGTTTTTTAATTTAAGACTACTTCTTTAATGTAACTGTTTAACATTTGAGAATGCTGCAATTTACCTCACTGAAATTTCAAAACTCTTACGTTATTTTGTTATAATTTGAATAATTAGTAGAATTATCATGGGGATTGTTTTTTAGAACCTAAGAAAAAATATTTAATTATTTTTTTCTCTTGGAAATTGTTTAAGGTTCTGTAAAAATGATACAAACTAATCTTTATCATCACAACTCTTTGCATGAAGTAATATTGAGAAGTAAAATTATTTGAGTGTTGATTTATTACCAAATAACTTCTTATTTGCACGATTCTAATCTGACATTGTGTAGGACCATGTGTAGGACTACAGTAGACCCCCTCTTAACCGTCCTTGTATTAACCGATAATCGGATTATCCGCCTTCGATCGTAAAATAATACAGTTTGTTTTAACCGACCTTGCTTTGAGAGCAGCTCGGTTTAACCGCCGCTTTCTAGGAATCTCGGCATTTCCGCTCCCACGCTCGGCTATGGGAACTGAACCATACGCTTATCTCCACAGGATATGACTAAGAATAAGTTATTTTGTATTGATCACAAAAAATATAGCATAACCTATTGTCAGTTTGTCATCATCGTTCGAGCATATCTGATCTGATTTGTTATCTGTGCGGCAAATTTGTAACATCATAAAGTGCGTTAAGATTTTGAGAACCGATTATCTTATCGCTGGAGTAAACAAATAAAATAGCGCAACTTGTAGGGAGGGCAGGGAAGGGGGGTTAACAACTCCAAGGTCAAGGTAGTTTTTGTGCCTCGAGCCTCCAGTGAGAGGCTATAAATGAACATCCTGTCTTGTAACAAAATGGTTGCTTGTATCTTTAATTTCGACAAAAGGTTCTGTACTGTATTACGATGGATTTGGAAAGCTTCAATTAATACATTACAGTACTAAAGTTATTAAAATAGGAATTTTTTTTTACTCTTGCCTCGTATCATAATATATTCCACTGAAAGTAGGCCTATATATTTGACTTAACCGTGTTGTGTTTATTTGTGACTTTTCTATCAATATGAAAAAGGAGATAAGAGTAGTTTATTTTATAAATAATACAAGTATGACTTCAAAATAATGATTATATAATTCCAAATGAATAGCACTTCATTATGTTATGATTTTAGGGATTGCCCGTTTTAACCGACCTTTTGAGTTATCCGACCTAAGTCCGGTCCCATTAGGGTCGGTTAAGAGGGGGTCTACTGTATGTATTAATGGTAAAGTAACTGTGCGTGCTAGTGTATGGTATTCAAAATTTGTTGTTTTGCAGGTCATAAACATATATTATAAATTGTATCAACTTGACCAATCTGGCCATATTTGAGGATTTTTTTGGGGGGAAGTAAGTTTCTGGCTAAAGGAATTTTGGTACTTTTGTTTATTATAGTTATTATATTTTTATTATTATTATAGTTGCAGACAAGCCTTGTGAGCCTCTTTAAAGGTTAAAAAACATTTATCTTTAATTACAAACCTCTTTCTATACTCCTTACACATCATCTTAAATACTATTTTACTCACATTTTATGTAATCTATTACCCTTTAGATACATTAAATGCGTTTTTTTTTCATAGAATGATTCAGTAATGACTCAAAAGTATTTGGATATTTTGAATCAATCTGTAACATACAACAGAGTGTGTATATGTGTTGTGAATGTGTGTGCGTGTGAGAGCGAGAGAGATATTTACCAGGTCATATTTATCTTATCACTTGTAATACAAGCCAATACCGCCTGGCACTACGGTGTGATGGTGTTGATGCTATACAATTGCTACCAGGTGTTGTGAATGTACTGTGAAGTTTGTGAATTTTATGCGTACAATTGTGATTTGTGTACAGTTACTGATTAGTGTACACTTAGTCCTACTCGATATGATTTGATGAATGAGTAAATGGTAAATTCACCTAGAGGATACTGAACCTGTTGACTATGTAGCGTGAATGTGTGTTTGTATCTAAGCCACCACATTGATGAGTCTAGGTAAAAATAGATATTTTAAAAACTTTAATTTGAGGGATCTAAGGTATAAACATATTGGTTTCTTGTGTGATTTATAATTTGTATTGAATATGTATCACAATCTAATAAACTTTGTCTATGATTTGCAGAGATGTTGTGGTTGCAAACTCCTTTTATTTTGTTAGAAAAACATTTTGAAGCTTGTTAGTATGAAGTTTGATGTAAAAAATTTATTTATTTTGATGTAAACCACAATTTATATGGTTTCATATATTTAAAAAGATTTGTGACCTTTATTCCTTACTAGTGAAACCATCAACCTACAAAGTATCTAGGCAAAAAAATATTTACCAACTTTGGGACTTAATGCACTTTTTGCAGCAGTTTTTCTGTATACTTGCTGCAGCTGAATTAAAATTTTATGATCAAAATGGATGCTGTATTTTTTATTTGTTGTAACAACCCTTTGGTACATCAATAAGAGGCTTCAGATACAGTATAAGTGTCTGATTTAGTATGTTGACAAATCTGCATGTGGGCCTATTGAATGGATTTTTTGTGAATGCAACACATTCTTTTGACAACAAACTCTCTAATTTTTCTTTGTCATTTTTTTCTGTTGAAGAATCTGTTAGTTTGTAGACAATATATTATTGGCATTTGTGCAATTGCTGCATTTTTTTGTTAATACAATCAGAATCATACCGGTGTTTGTCTTTGCACCTGTTTTAGAACCACAAGTACTGATTTTTTTTTGTATTCATTTTGCAGCATGTTTACAATTATTTATAATTTAATGCATTCAAACCATTTTGTGTTCTGTTCTATTTCAGCCCAACTTGGTAGTATTTTATGGGCCACAGACCTCTGAAAAACAGCGCAAACAGGTATTGAGTAATTTCTATTTGTAGCAGATTATTGATTTTGTAATTTCTAGGTCTATTCTGGTACACTTATAGTTCCTTAATCTTAAACAGATGGTTGTTACTATTGTCAGCTAGATGCTTAGAAGGCATATAGCATAAAAGTGTAAAGCAAAGTAGTTTAAATTTTCAAATAATTTGCTAACAGATATTGAGGCTTAGGATCTTTTAATAGTGTGGTAAATGTTGGTAACATGTCATTTTACAAGAATCAAGTAAGTAATATAAGATTATAAAAGGCTTAATCAGTTATACATTGAAAGAAAGTACCAAAATAATAATAATAATTTTACCTTATATCCTCAAATATTTAGCCACTCTTAATTAATTGAGAAGAACCATGCAACTTTTAATTTGGCTAGAAAAACATTATTTTATGAAAGAATGCGCTATGAGTTATCTTATTGTAACGAAACTGTCAGAACATTATTTATTTGTGATTTTGCAAACCAATGTGTACCTGGTCAAACATATGATTTTCACTCAAATGAAACTCTAAATTAGCTAGGCCTACCTATTCATTTCACTACAATGTTGTTCTTTCACCTTGACAAATTTCTTTTTTTTACACAAAGTTTGGTCACAAATGCTCTTTATTTGTCTGAATTTTTTTTATATTCTTTGTTTGGCTTATATGGTGTTTTGGAGGAATTTTTTTTGGCCTGTGCTTTGGTAGGATTTTTTTTTGCACTGCTCCATTGCGTGTGAGTGAGCTTATTTTCTGTCAGTCATTGCATTTTTGGTTTTTAATTTGTTCAAGGGTTATGAGGCTGATCCCAGTCAAGTGGCACTTAAGGTTTTGTAGTGGCTCTCACAACCGGGGTGTTTACGTCCGAGTAAGTGAATGAGCAGGTTTACTAACTAAAAAAAAAACAAAAAAAAAACAAAGGTTATAAAGTTTACATTTTTAATGCTTTGAGATAGGAGATTCTTGGTGATTTACATTAACTTATAGTAGGGAGTTGAAACTTCTTTTGTAGTCTAGCTGAAAAAATAACGCTCAGAATATTTAAAATATTTTTGTATGAATTTTTGCTACACAAAAAATCAACTTAGTCACTTGTATAATCAAAGGGGTTTTTGGTAATTTGTTTATATTCTGCTTATGTTTTGTCGTTGCAAATTGGATAGTTTAAAATATTTTAAATTGTATAACAATTGAAGTTTAACATGTTGTAAATGTTTTATTCCCTTTTTGTGCTGGGGAAAAGGATCTTGGGAAACCTATCATAGCCGAGTTCTTTTACTGAATGCAATGTTGGTTTCTCATGACCATTTTGTTATTTGATTAATTAACTTTAAAAAATTAGACAGTTGTAGGCCAATTCGTTCTATAGATTATGTAAAATATCTCATGTGAACTATGGATACTACTTATAAAAGCATTTTAAATTATTTAAAATTTGAGTACATAGTAAGGTGTATATGAAAACCTGCTTATTTACTTTACCGGTTCCCTAGCTTGACGATAAATTATGCACTGTTGACTTAAATCTTATTTCACGTCATGTCATGGCTAATGAAAGTTACTCCACATTGAATCCTAATTTGAACACATGTACTTTTTTCTGTTAACCATTTTTTTTTAAAGATTTTTTGATTGATTGCAGAATTTGACTAGTTTAACATCTCATTTCCCTCTTTTCAGATATCTAACGGAGACAAACAAACACATTTTGCCGGAAGTTCAGACGACGACATGATCGACATCACTACAGGAATGTCTAACCAAGCTTTCCAGGACGAGTTTGTTTCGTCTCAATGTAAGTGGATCTTGAAACTTTAAAATGCTCTAACATAATCAATATCCTATCACAAGAGTCATTTATATGTGCATGGATGTAATCAGTGCTGATTTGATATGGGTGTCCTTACCATTGTTGATTGTAGTCATAATATACATGCTATCGGTTTTGGCCCAAGACGCTACCACTCATGGTAACTATCATAACAATTTGTAATCCTGCAAATCAAGGCAATATCTTTTACCGGTGAGGTTAAAATTAGTTATAATTTAAATTAAACTGATAATTTTTTATTCGTGTTTCGTATCACTTGATAATTACCAAAATCCAGAACATATCAAATTTGTATGGTTCAAGAGACAGACGGATTCAATTATTGTACCACAAATCAGTTTAAGTTTGTTTTTAAATTATTCTAAATTTTAAGATTTTTTAGTAAAATTATTATGTTACAACCCATTATTACAACCCAAAGTAACGACCAATCCATCAAAAACAGTTTTTTTATCTATTCAGTACATCTACTTAACACGTTCGCTGCGGCACGTCAAATAGCGGGCGTATCCCCAGTGCGGCGCAGCCCTCAGCGTCGAGTAAACCCGATTGCCGCGTGTGATTGGCCTTTTCAATTTTGGTCTGACGAATAGCAAATAACGTGAGGGGATGTCCTGCTTTACAACGAGAGTCGATGTAGTTCGCTAAACACCCACAGATAGCAGCACTGCTTGGAACGTAGCCGGTCCCATTGGAATTGTATTGCCAAATGGAGGGGAAAAGACGGGACAAAAAGAAGACTTTTGAGATTGCCAGACGGGAATTTTACGGGGAAATTTACTACCAACCTACACCACAACAAAATGCAAGTCACATACTACACGCTAACGTCGTATAGGTCCGCTTTCGGCCGACGCTAGAGCAAAAACGAAGACATACAAAAGGCATTACCGAGCGTTCCCGATGGGGTCCGGACGCACCGTACGGGGGCCAAGCGCCGTACCCGATCGGGAACGGCCGCACTCTACGTGTTAAAAAACCCCAACATTAGTAAAGCGAAATTTCTTTGTTGTTTAGTTGTTGGCTCAAACTGATTTTTGTAGCCACACTGCCCATAAAAATTATTATATAATAACTTTGGAACTGTGGAACTGTACATTTTCATTCAGGAAAAATTGATACCGTTTCGTAAATATATAAAATACTAAGACTTGGACTGTGTTTGGACTGACATCAACCAGTTTTATTAAATAGATTTAGAAGGCCAAAGGTAGTTTCAAATGAAGAGTTTCAATACAGGATATACAAGAGCTGCAATCTGGTTTTGACCTTGAGTTTACTCTGTTGAGCAACATTGCCATGCTCTATCATACAATGTACCTTTGTAGTCTGTAGCTTACAGTTTTAACAGCAATCATGATTCATTCTAATTTTCAGTTTCTGTTTTTTTATCATAAAATTACCACACAAAAAAATCATATCACTATACATAACCCTGTAAAGTATATTTTATATGTTGATTTAACTTTATATATTAGATGCTTACTCACTTATGAGATACTATTTATATAGATTTGTTTCTCATTAAATAAAAATAGTTTCATAACAAAACATTTCTTAACTAAAGAAAAAAAAATTTGCTTAGATTTTTGTCTCCATGTGAATCATTTCCCACTGTTTCTGTTTGACAGGAATAACAATAATTACTAGAATTATATTTGTAGCTCATAATGTACAAATGTCACACTATGTACAGGTAACTATGAAATCACTTTCTTGCTGAAGTCTGCATTTCAATCCACATTCAATTGTACCAAAAACGTTTGTACAAACAAAACACATGATTCTATTAAATAAACATTTTTTGAGTGCGGTTCAATCTCTGATGTAAATTCTATGCAACAGCAAAATAACACTTGTGCAATGCTCTTCTTTATTATTAGGAAACATAATATCACCATATACTAGATTATTTATCAGTGAAACTATTTCCCTACATGTTTTAGTACTACATGTATTGCACTGTTCTAGATACAGATGACATTCCGGGCATTGGTCAGTATGAGGACTTCCACACCATCGATTGGCAGAGAGACATCGCCAGAGATAGAATGCGCCATAGGTACATCGTCAAGCGAAAGCAAAACTCCATCTTTGATTTGGTAAGATGTTTATTTAAAAAATGTTTTCATTCACATTGAGAATGAATTTAGTAGTTGTTGAATGATTAGTTGAAATGCTGTAGTATGTATAGTAAAACCATGACTAACCAAGATAAAGAGAGCTGGTTCGGATAGCCCATTTTCTGTTGACAGAAAATTTTTTATTAAAAATTATTCTTCATTTAGATTTAACCACACACGCAATATGAATTTAGATTTGTTCATTCTGATGGTCCGAAGACCAAAATGGGCTATAGAAAACTGCCCCTGATATTTTCGGGTTGGGTCGAGTCAACAGTTGGCCTCAGGAATTGGTTTGAGCTGGAAACAATTTTCAGGCGGAATGTTAATTTTTGCGATCGTAGAAAGCGTCTGCGAAGATGCACTTTCAAAAATCAACAATCACATGGGAAGTTCACAGTTTAATGAAGATTATGTTGTTGTGATGGTAGAATACGTTCACAAGTGTACTGTGACCACAGAAGATACTCTCAATTTTGCATAGATCACCCACGTGATCATAGACATGTATGATTTCGCTGTGACTGCAGAAGATGTTAATGATTTCGTCAAGACTGCAGAAGATGTGCGATTTTACTGCAATATGTGGGAGATCATGTACAAAAGTTATATATAAACCCTTGTAGTAGGTCTACAACAGTTAATATTAATTTTATTTAAATTAATACTTTCCAAAACAATCTTACTTGAAGTAAAATAAATCGGTCCTGCAAACTCCTCCCAATCTATGATAAAATTATTATTTGTGTAGGTGAGAGGGGCCCATGACGCCTGGTCTGGCTGGTTGTGTGTGCTGCTGGTAGGTCTAGTCACTGGTTGTGTGGCTGGTGTCATAGACATAGGAGCTACATGGATGTCAGACCTCAAGTATGGCCTGTGTCCCCAAGCGTTCTGGCTCAACGAGGAGCAATGCTGCTGGTCTTCCAATGAAACCTCGTTTGACGACAAAGGAAACTGCTCTCAGGTAGGTCTACTTACTGATCTAGAATTCAGTTTTGTCTCCTCAGTAAAAATTCTTTTCTGCATTCTGTCAAAAACACAATTGAACTATCACAAATTTTGTTCTTACAACTTTAACACGGGAATACAATGGCCTGTTCCGTAGTCAAAAGTTCCACTTACACCTAGATCAATTTTTGCACACCAAGAATAGCAAAAATAAATAGTAGGTGGTTAAATAGAATATAAAAATTACCGAGAAATGTGAATGTTTCAGTGGCTTACTTGGTCAGAGCTGATAGCTGATACAAAGATTGGTGCTGGAGCCTACATCATACAGTACATCTTCTACGTGTTGTGGGCATTGCTGTTTGCTCTACTGGCCGCATCCCTAGTTAGGATGTTCGCCCCTTACGCTTGTGGCTCTGGTATTCCTGAGGTAAATAAGCCTTATTGATATTTTCAAAGGTTCGGTATATATGTACTTTACTTTAATACTTCAATGCTTTAATCTTAAATGGTGACCATACAATTGTAGGTATTTTAAGCCAAGTATGAATGGAGATGAGTGTAGAATGAAGTCTTGTAGTCTTGTTAGGGGCTAAGGCTGACATGTTCCTCAGACACAGAATCAGAATCAGAAAAGCTTTATTCAAGATTTATACATTATATACATGAAATATATGCATAAATAAATACTAAATGGCGTCAAAACAGCTTATTACTAATTAAAAATACTTGGTTATACTAAATAAAACAGGACAATTTAATTAATGTAATTACATGTTGTAAAACTCTTCAAATGAGTAAAATGCTCTATCAATTAGTAACAATTTAAGTTTTTTTTTTTAAAGACGTAATGTTTTTTTATATCAAATATTTCTTTTAGTAGATGGTACAAAAACTCAATTCCTGCAGCTGTTGGTTTCTTGTTATAAAACTCCAGTTTGTGTTGTGTTACGGATGGATAATTTTTATGCCTAGTATTATATCTATGATTATCCCCCAGCAGTGGCACCTTGTCTTCAGAAGCCCTCACATGCATGTATTTTATATATATATAGTGTGCAATATATATAAAATAAAAATATTTTTTGGCCGATTCTTCATCATCCAGATTTAACATGATTCTTATTGCCCTTTTTTGAAGGATTAGAATACTTTGTAAATTTTGATTACTTGTAGCTACATATAACTCAATACCAAATGTAATGCACAGTTAACCTACACAGTTATCAATACACAGCTGTTAATTAATAGCCCATAGCCAATGGCAACTAGGGGGTCACCTACAGTTTACAGTGGAATCCGAACCACATTTTTGCCTAGTAATTAACCAATTTGTCTAATTATCAGGATACTACTGCGGATTGTCGTAGTACTCACTAGTGCAAACGTTAATCCTCACCGGGGAGTATTGCATTCACAGTGCATGCCTATAAATATCCACAATCCGTGACCTAGTAGCTGGATTACAGGACTTCACCACCTTCCCAGTCAATGTAATGCTACCTGTAATTCCTGGATTTAACAAAAACTAATTGATCTGTTTTAATCTGCTTAATATTGAGTTGTTTTTGCAAAAATTTCAGACACATCCAAAGTGTTGAATGGTTGTCGCACACAGAGGCAAAACTTTGATTTACTAGTAGTCTATATAATTACTTTGTTGGTTGTAGATCAAGACGATTCTGAGTGGGTTTATCATCAGAGGGTATCTGGGCAAGTGGACATTGATCATAAAGTCTGTAGGCATCATGTTGGCAGTGTCTGCCGGCCTCAGCCTGGGCAAGGAGGGCCCTATGGTGCACATCGCCTGCTGTATAGGTCAGTCAAAACTAACACCCAATTAACGTGTTTTAAGAACGTTTTGTGAGCTAAACTATAAATATTTTGTGATGGATTGGAAACCCTAGATCAGAATTTAAAGACAGTTGTCATTTTGACTTTTTTTTGTTATATAAAAGATCTTGAGTTTTCATGTAAATTTCAAATTTGTAAAAATCACCTTACAAGTTATTCCGTACTGTTTTGTTAAACCGACCACACCAGTAGGTTAGGTTAGTAACAAAATATTTTAAATGAAAGTCAATTTTTAAATTTACAACTTAACTTTTTGGGGTGGATAGAACAGCAAAACCCTGGTGTGGTCAGTATAACAGAAGAGTATGCCTACCAACTACTATTCTTACATTACCCCCAGTATAATCGACTTAGTTCAGTCAAACCCTTTTGTGTGTGCTTAGCATACTTATTTATAGTGCTGTTACATTTTCAAGTAGGTTTACATTATATTATTTTTTACTCTATTTATAGGTAACATTTTATCCTATCTCTTCCCAAAGTATGGGAAAAATGAAGCTAAAAAGCGAGAGATTTTGTCAGCTGCCGCCGCAGCTGGGGTGTCTGTTGCTTTCGGAGCTCCGATTGGAGGAGTGCTTTTCAGTCTTGAAGAAGTAAGTTGAATATTTGTTTGAGGCAATTAATAACTGAGTGTTAATTCTCCTTACACTGGTGATAAAGGAAGGTTAAAATCAAATAATGTGTTGAACTTATGTTTTTATAATAAAGGGACCTATACAAAAAAGGAAAATATTTTATAGTTTAGATACCTAATTGCAAATTATATATACAAGATGAAACAGTCTGTCTCAGTAAATTGGGCTCTTGTTTGTCAATGTTATTTTAATTTGTTGACATAGGCACGGTTTAGAATAAATAATTGGTTTAATTTTCCAATCTGCTACCAAAAACTTGTTTGTCTCATTTTGATATGGATTTTCCACCTGTCCATTCAATTAATTTTTACACAACCTCAAATATGTATTTATCACAAAATCAGTTTGTACATAGATATATTTTCAAGCACCATGTTAAATATAATTTGCATTTGTATTCCCTGATTCATATTTTCAATAATAGGCCTAGTAAAATCTCAATTTGTAAAGGTTATCATAATTTTACTAATCAAACCTCATCATTAAATCTACTGGTTTAATAAATTTTTATGCACATAGAACCACAACAATTATGTAGGCCTAGCGATGGCTTGGGGTGTGTGTGTGAGTGTGTAATTTGGAAATGTGTGATACTTCTGAGACTAACTTAAGCTTGCTGAATCTGCTACCAAATAATTTACATGAAAGACGAGTTGGGGACCAGAGGACGGAGATCTTTTACCTAGACCGGAAGCTAGCTAGCCAGCTTTGGTTTACCTTTATAGAATTAATTTACTGTTTTATCCTTCCAAAAAACCGGTGACCTAGAAAATGACAATGTGCAAGATAATTTGGTTGGAAATGAACTAGGGTACTTAAATCGGAAACTCAGATAAACTGTGGAAGCCTACTGGGAAAAACGTGTTCCTTTTTTCATGTTGGAAATGGTCTAGGCTGAAGGCCTCAACCGGCAATTATTTAATTCCTATAGTCCTTGCCACCCTAACTTGAGGCAGCACAAGGCCGCACGCCGTATAGCTAGTGCGGCCTTGGGCTGCCTCAAGTTAGGGTGGCAAGGAGTATACATAACCAATGTTGGGGCGACCCTTGGAGGTCTCCCCCTTTGGTTTGCTAACTAGCCTTGGTATCTAAACCTATAATTAACATAAATAAATACTCATCCATTTTCTGAAGGATTCTTTCTAGACGATTAGATTGCGTGTTCAACGTTTTCCGAGGAGTAGAGAAGTGGGGAGAGAATTGGTGGGGGGAAGCATTTGCGGTGGGCTGACGAGCTCAACATGAAGCCCTGACTCGCAAACTGCTGACACTATACAAAATGTAGCGTGCCGCTATGCGTCACAGTTAAACAATCATAAATTTTAAAATATCCTATATATCCTATTCAATGAAACCCTATTCAATGAGTGTGTGTTTTCTTTACAATGTATAGTAGGTTAAAGTTATTCTTTATTAATGTAGAATATTATAGAGCTGTCATAGTACATTTTGAAATCTTTTCAGTGTACCGTCTTAAAGTGAGGATGTTTATAAATGGGTATAAATAAATGACATAAATGTTATGCATATTTAAAAAAATCAAAGAGCTACCTAAATTATAGGCAGTAAGCAATTGATGCCTAGGTATTGACTATGAGCTCCATAATGTAAAGCTCTACGGCAACAATCTGATAACTGAGGCAAGTCTGTTGCTTCCGAGGAAGTTGTGGGGTTAAATGTAAAAAAATCTATTCCCATCTGGAAAGGAGTTGCTTATGAAATCCTACTGTCCCTCGAAGTCAGCTTCCATCAACATTGTGGATGTTTGTAGTAGTGAAGTGCTTTAAGTGAGGCTAATAAGCCTCATAGGCTATAGATTTGATTGTACATGCGAATTTTATGTGATATAAAAAAAAAACCACTCATTCTCTGCAGGTGAGTTACTACTTTCCTCTGAAGACTCTGTGGAGATCCTTCTTCTGTGCTCTGGTCGCCGCTTTTGTCCTTCGTTCCATCAACCCCTTCGGCAACGAGCATTCTGTGTTGTTCTACGTTGAATACAACAAGCCGTTCATGTTCTTTGAACTGGTTCCTTTCGTGGGCTTAGGAGTTATTGGTGTAAGTAATAACAGTTTTTTTTACAGTATCTGTAATATTGAAGATTTTTAGGGTTATCAAATGTTTGTTACAAGTTTATTGTTTGATTTTAACTGAGGGGTGTAAGCTCCACACAGAAATAAGTGTAATTTTAAAAATACAGTGTATATGAAAGTTCAAGAACAATTTGTCCTAAATGAATGAGTTTATTATTCTTTTTGTGATTAAAAGAATTATGCATTACGGGTCTTGCCTATAAGTTCAAAAGATTAAGCACCAGTCAGAAAATGAAGGTTTAGCCGAGCTTTTGCGAAGATCGTGCGATTGAAAAGCTCCTGCTTTTTCGCAATTGTGGATGACGTCTATAACGTTTCTATAATCGCAAGACACGATGGCGATGTCTAGATGAATAGAGGAGATATCAAGGATTCTGCCGTGATTCTGAACATCTGCCGCACTTGTGTAGAAACCAACATTGTTTTCTGTGATCGCCACAAAATCCTGAACATTTCACTTGGCTGTATAGATAACATCACTGTCCTCCCCCCCCCCCCCTACCCCATTCGGGGCAAAATATGGAACATACCTCATGGTCGCAGAAACATCATTAGTCGTATTACACAATCACAGCCAAATCCTGAATATCTTCTGCAGTAACAGGAAAATAATCATTGCGGCAAAATCCTGGAAATCTCCCGTGGTCGTGGAAAATACATCATTGTCTCCCAAAATCACAGAAAATGTATCCTCATCATTCCAACAGCAGTCAGGGCAGAAGTGTGAAATTTTCTTTCTCACTATCTTGGCTGATCGTAAAAGCTTGTCTCGAGGTTGATTTTCTGACTTGGCATTCGATCTCAAACTTTTAGGCTGGGCTCGGCTCAGCTCAAAAAATCAAGCGGCTTGCACACCATTTTTATTTATTAGCTCTTGATTGTTTCAGGTAATCTAGCTTAAATCTATTCCTTTTAAAAATAATGTTAACCAGCCAAACTGCTTTCGTGTGAATTAAAATTTAATAAAATAGTTTTTCAATATTGAAGTACAGTATGTCTACTCCAGCTTACTTTAGTCATATTTCAATTTGTAACTGTGATGTCATAATTTTCTCCAGGGTGTGATAGCCACCATATTCATCAAGGCCAACCTGTACTGGTGCCGGTACCGCAAGGTGTCTAGGCTGGGCCAGTACCCAGTGACGGAGGTGTTGATAGTGACGGCCATCACAGCTGTTGTTGGCTACCTCAACAGATTCACACGCATGAGCACCAGTCAGCTGATACTGCTGTTGTTCAGTCAGTGCGGGGTGGGTGACTCTTACGGCCTCTGGTGAGTCAAATACCACAGATCTCATGTAAATGTTGTGGGAAGGGTGCTACAGGAGAATAGTATTAGACAATTTGTGGGACCGGTATATCAACATCAACTGAATTATCTTTATTATCCTACGAGTTAGTAGGCTTACCAGAATGGGGAAGAGTTTATTCTGGCACAGAAACACAAAACTGCATTGGCCTACACAATTATTCAGGGCTGTGCGAATAGTTCGAAAAACGAATCTAATCCGAATCTTTTAAGAGATTCGATTCGGATTCGAGAACGAATCTACTGTTTCTAACTGGATTCGGATTCGGAATCGATATTCAAATTTACTGGTAAGAGATCCGGGTTCGGATTCGATATTCGAATTTCTTGGAAATAGATCCGAGTTGGGATTCGATATTCAAATTTACTAGATTCTGATTGAATATAATTTTCAATATAATTTTTTAGACACTAAAAAACTACTTGTGCACTCCGATTTGCTGTTGACTGGTTCATGTTAGGAACCTGACCAACTTGGTGTTAGGCTTTAGGCACATTAGTGTAGGTCGCATTTAAACCCTATCTTGGCTATCAGTAAACTTAACCTCACAGTGTTAGATGTTACTTGTAATAGTAATGCAGACATAGGCTTGTGTGGAGGATTAACACCGAGATGTATAATAGGCTGGGCCTATGTTTTAGACTACACAAATTGGTAGTCCATCACTTTTAGCGAGTAACTTAGGCCTAGGTGGTATGCCTAACTTATGCCCAATTTTTTAGTTTCAAAACTTCAAATAGGTAGGCCTAAATTTTATAACTTTTTTATTTGGCCCATTTCAAGAATTTTTTTAAGCAATTCCCTAAGTTATTTCAGCCCCAGAAAATGTGGTCTAAAAATGTGAAAATTGGTACTGCTGACTTTCCTCGGATTTGGATTCGACTCTGAACACGTTTAAATATTCGGATTCGATAACAGCTTTAAATTTCAGATTCGGATTCGATCCAGGTTCGATAATGGCTGTAAATTTGAGATTCGGATTCGACCCAGATTCGACTCGGGATTAATTAAAATATTCGGATTCGATAAAATCTGTACAGCTATGATTCGGATTCGGATTCGAACCAAAATTTCTGGATTCGCACAGCCCTGCAATTATTAGAATATTTCAGTGTTACAGGAGCTTCAACCAAGAAAATTGTGAGTTAGTAGATGTATTAAACATCATTTGTTGTGACAATGAAATGTTGTCAATTTTGTGTATAGTGTAAAGTTTTGTGTTTCTAGTGCTAGAGTGGACTACTTCTCTAGATAAGCTTCCTTTCCACTCAACAATTCTTAAAATCAAAGACATTTTGCTGTACAATACTTTACATGCTTAAACTCACACTGAATTATCTTTATTGCTTTAAATAGAAAAAACTTATAGCAATACTACCAATTTACTTATAAAATCAAATGTTAGTTCTTATGCTAAATAAAATAAATGGTATCAGCAATCTGACACATACTTGTCCCCATTAGCTTGTCAACAACAACCTTTATCTTGGGTATGTGGTAGGAGTAACTTTTATATTTTATAGGGAAAATCACAAAAGTTGCAATAGGTAACTTTGAAAATGAAAGTTTTACAGCAATGGCTAATGTATATTGCACTATTTTGTTTAGTTTAAGGGCCATAACATACCTACTAATTTTAATTAAAACTGTTTTTTTTTTATCCGGTTTTCCATCATTTTATGGGTTTTTTTTGTAAATAACATAGGTTACAATAACTTTTAAACCGTAGGTAATTTTTACAGAAATGGGATGTACCATTTAGTTCAGAGTTTAAAGGGATATAACTGACTAAATTTTTATCAAAATCGATCAGCCATTTTTTAGAAAATTCAATTGTTTTATTATTTTATGGGTTTTTATGGAAAACCCACCATTAAACCCCAAATTGCAAAAAAATTAAAAAAATGCCTGGAGATGGGTTAGTGTCTATATACCAAATTTCATCAAAATCGGACTACAGGTGTGGTCTGTATCTCTGTACACATCCACACACATAGACAGACGTCTCCTCCAAAACCACTTTTTTGGGTTTATTTCAGGGGGACCCAAAAAGAATATATCCACTTAAAACTCAAACTCAAAATTTTTTTTGAAAACAATACTTCCTCTATAAAAATACTATGTATGGGAGGACTAAAAAAAGACTATACTGTAAAGTGACCCCTAATTAAAAGACCATTGATAACAGACTTTTTTCTTAGTTAAAATGAGGTATTGTTACAGGAACTTTTAGTCAAGGTACCCACAAAAAGTAATTGAGGGAGTTTCAGTTTACCTTAAAAAGTTAATTTATGAGTCAGTGGCTCAGTCAGTCGAGCCGTACCATAAGCTGTGATACCAAGGCAGGGTTTGCGTCCAGTTAGTGCTATTTTAAATCACTGTAATTTCCACAGTTCATTTTCATACTGTACAGGCTCGCCCCTTGCTTTGCTTGGTACACTCTTCACTCAGACATATGAGACCCATGTGTATGAAATGTGTATGAACAAATTCAAGGCTAAAAAGACCTCCAACATCTTCAATTTGATATTGCTTGCCTGTAATTGTGTAAAAAAATTGCATAATTGTTCATCAATTACACCAAGATACTTTAAACATATCTATTGAAGATATCTTTGAAGTGGACTATTTGAACATAATTAATAATTGAAGATTGTAAATGTTTGACAGTGACTATGTGTACACGCGCAACAATGTGACACAAGCAGTAGAAGAGTCCTCAGCGGGATCAGGGGTCTACCATGCTGTCATTCTACTCATATTGGCCCTTATATTCAAACTGGTGACTGTCATCTTCACTTTCGGCATGAAGGTAGGTCTGTTTGAAAGCAGCTGGATTATCATTAACACTAATACCGAAGCCCTACCTAGGCTGACGTTAACCGAAACCCCTGGTCTGTGAGACCCCATTTGAAAATTATACAGTGTACACTGTGATAAGATTTAAATCCTCAATCATCTGTCTGCAACTCCTTAGATCTTCGGCCATTGATCAGATTTAACAGCCTACCGAGCCTAAACCTAGCTCTTAAACTTGAACCTAGTAGCTTCGACTATCAATACAACTAGATATTCCATCCCCATGTTAAATTTGTAGCCAAATTTTTTTTCAAAGTCGTCACAGTTGATGTGAGCCACCTACAGATTGGAGATTGCGCTGATCTAAATTACTAAAGGCCGATATCCACAGTGTGAGGCTGCTCGCTGCAAATGCCTCGTGCCATCTGCCTCAGGGTGAGCTCTTTAGCTGGCAGCTAGTTTGTAAACATGAATGCTCACTGCGAGCACGCGAACCACCCGCTTTGCTTTCCATAACACTTCACTAAATCTCTGATCATGTCTTGACAATCCATGATGACGCACAGCTCGGAGCGAGGCACCTTTCTTTGAGCACTGCTCTGAGACCGATAAGTACACGGCTCGCCTCACATTGTGCGACGCGAGCGCCTCACAGCGAGCAACCCCGGTATCCACAGTCCGAGGCAAAGCCTAGCATTCGCAACGAGGCATTCGCAGAGAGCTGCCTCGCACTGTGGATACCGGCCTTATATTTTGCTGAATACACAATCTTTTTAACCAAGTCAAACTTAGGGAATGACTTATGATGAGTATCCAATAGTCAATGCTAGTAGTTTACAGCCGTATGGCATTGATAATAATTGCAATGTAAGTTTGGCTCAGTTAGTCCTGTGTCCGATAAATCTAATGTTGTAGCCCAAATGGTTATTAATTTGGTTTATCTCCTTACAATTTAGATGTTTTTTCCACCTCAGTAATGTGATGAGTAACGAGTAAAAGTAAAATCAGAATACTATTTTTATCATGATTTAATGAATTTAGGACCATTAACAAAATGGTTTTTAAAATGTTTTTCACTATGATGAAACGTATTGTTGTGCTTGTGTGCAGGTGCCGTGTGGATTGTTCATACCCAGCCTATGTCTGGGAGGTATCATTGGACGGATAGTGGGCATCTGTGTACAACAGTTGGCCTATCACTACCCTCATATTTGGGTGTTTGGGGGAGAGTGTGTCTCGGGTGATGACTGTATCACACCCGGACTCTACGCTATGGTCGGGGCAGCCGCAGTACTTGGAGGGGTCACCCGGATGACAGGTGTGTTTTTTACTTAGGCATTTACTTTTGTAATTAAATAATAAACAATATCTGTGTAACCGAGTAATATTTGAAACTACATTACTTCGTAGTCAGTTTTATGTCATTTACTAGCAACAGAGCACGCTGTGGTTAAATACAATGGTCTCTGGAAAAGTATTACTATGCTTTATTTACAAAATACAGTATAAACAAACAAAAAAACTCAAGGAAATAACAATACAACTATAAGCTGTTAAATTAATACGTGTTCCATATAGCCTAATGCTATGTTTTTGAATCAGAAAACTTTGATGTTTAACAAAGATTGAAAAAACATCTTGAAATCTAACTGTCTATTGTCTACAAATTGGACCGATGGCCTTGATAAATGGTTTGAACGCAAAATTACAGTGACTAAATGCTTGTCACCTTTCAAAGTGTATAATGGTTAGGCATTTGAGTATTTAATTAGTAATTAATCAGTGTTTGTCGAGAATAATTTTACATTTGGATGATTCTGGTGTCAGACTCAGAACTACTAGAAAACTATTTAATTTGCACATTATTTCACCATAACATTGACTTACAGAATATTTTGAATTTTTACTACACCTACATTTATCTTAGTCCTGTGTACAGGAATTACTGTTAAAGCTCGTAATCTTTGACATCAATTTTACCAATCATCATATCCAGTTGGAAGGTTTTAGTATGACGATTGGGAGTAACCATAATCCTTTTCATTGTTAAAGTAATGTCTATTAGTATTTGTATTGTCGTGTTATAACATTTACTTTGTGTGGTGTAGTGTCGCTGGTGGTGATCATGTTTGAATTGACGGGTGGAGTCCGCTACATCGTGCCACTCATGGCTGCAGCAATGGCCAGCAAGTGGGTAGGTGACGCTCTAGGCCGTCAGGGTGTCTATGACGCTCACATCAACCTCAACGGCTATCCCTTCCTGGACAGCAAGGAAGAGTATGCTCACACTGCTCTAGCCGCTGACGTCATGCAACCCAAGTATGAACTTTTCTCGCTCAATTCTTGAGTATTTTAAACTAGTCATGTATATATTTTTTTTCCTATTATTGCAATTATTTTAACTGTAGCCATAAAATTTTGTTACAGTGTTTACTGGTAGTTAGCATAATTAAGAATTTCCTATGATGAAATTACTGTTAAATTAGTTGTTGTTTGTTTCACTCATAGTGAATTTCCTCAATGGGAAGTAGCCATTATACGTCCACTAACTATACTTTTTTGTTTTATAGTTCCCAGAAAAAAAAACAAACAATCAAATTATATTATTTGTACACTTCTGTATGCACTGTAACCTATATCATTGACTATTGGATACAGAAGAAGAATCCTATCTATTAATATGGAACAGCTGTCGCCAATTTTTTACTAAAAACTAATGTAGTTGTGTGAGCCAGTCACAGATTGCTCTAGTGTCTAAAACTCTATTTTGTACCTTATTTTTTGTTACTGACATAGTTACTGGGTCATAAGTTAATATAGCTCATAATAAGTCATTTCATCAGTTTGACTTGGTAAAAACCATCTTGTAATTGGCAGAAATCAGTAATTCATATCAGTGCAATCTGTAGGTGGCTCACATTAACTAAGACACATTTGATCAAAAACCTGACAAAAACTTTAACATGGGGATGGAATTCCAATTTTCTTGGGATTCAATATATCTTGTAAACCATTATCTATTTGAATGAGTTTTTTAACCGGTCAAATCAGGCTGCAGGATATTTTGTACCCAAAAAACTGTATTTTCTCCAAAATGTAAAAGATATTTTACCATTCAAACCAACAAATCCAAGCATTTATTTTGCTCATTGTTATTCTATGCCATTAACCATTATTTATGACCAAACATACAACATTTTTCCTTTTAAAACTTTTACTGAATGTCTCCAAATTAATATTATTTAATGCTTATTATTGATTTTATGTTTTTATACATAACAAGCTGATATTGAACTTAATTAAATATTCCACTGACACATTTGTGTTTGCAGGAGAAGTGAGCCACTCAGCATCCTGACTCAGGACTCAATGACTGTAGAAGACGTAGAAATTCTGTTGAAAGACACAGAACACAAGGGCTTCCCTGTCGTAGTCTCACGAGAATCTCAGTACCTGGTCGGTTTTGTGCTCAGGAGGGATCTCAATCTCGCCATCGGTATGTGCTTTTGCTTTTGTCCTAGTAACTTTTGTTCATTGTATCAATAATTGCCAAACACTAAACAGTAAGTGTTGCAGTTAAGTTATATTCAAATTAGATTAATACTTAAGTGTAGTTAAGTTTTATAAAAAAGAGCTGGCAAACACAAAATCTTACAAAATTGTATAACTTAGTCAATCTAGTTACAACATGACTCTGTGTACAGAGAATGCTAAGCGTACAATGGAAGGTCTACGGGGAGACTCTTTGGTGCTGTTTGTGCCGGAAGCGCCAGGGTTGGCACCAGGAGCGCCGGCACCGCTGCCACTGGCACGGATACTGGACATGGCACCCATCGCCATCACTGACCAGACACCCATGGAGACTGTCATAGACATGTTCCGCAAACTGGGACTGCGGCAGACTCTGGTCACTCATAATGGGTGAGTTTTTAGATCTTCACTAAGTAGTAATTTGTATAGACCTAACCAAATTTGGTGTACAGTAGGCTACAAGTCTTTGCAGTATGCGGTAGATGTGATACAGCAAAGTGGTATGTAAAAGAAAACTGCGTAATTTGAAGTATTTTCTAACCCATTGTAGCATTTTTATAGCTAAAAATAAACACTGAATTATGCATTGCCTTAAATTAATTTTTCCTGCGCACCGTGGCACTTCATTGGCTAATTTTTGCATATTATAGGTTGACCGAAAAATTGGTTATCCGAAACAGCTCTCCCCCCCCCTTATTTCGGTTAACCGGGGTTCTCAATAGTTTCTAACACTAAACTGTTATGGTTTGTGGCATGAATTTGTAGCCAACAGGCCTGGATTAACCCTCTTTGACACCTCAGAACAACCAAACTAAAGAAACTTCCCTTATCAAAGCGTGAAGGGGTGGGGGGTAATTTGTCTATAATTACTCCGTAAACTCCCCTCTTAGGGAATTAGCTATTTTAGTTTACAATAACTTTTCAAAAATAGAATTTTATGCAAGACATCAATAATAGCAAAAACAGCCTCTATGCCAAGAATTTAATTTGTTCAATAAAGGGGTAGCAATTAGCTCACCGTAGAAAAAATGCATACAGGTAAGTCATAGAGTGCCAAGTAGCTTATTGCCGCCTTTACTTTCTGCTTTGCCGCTCTCCAGTATTCCAATCAAACAACACAAAACAAAACAGTGTTTTTTTATAAGGCACGCAATACGTGTAAGAAACGTTTTGGCGCTGTCCAGTATTCCAACCACACAACACAAAACAAAACAGTGTGCTTTTTTAAGGCACGTAATACATGTACGCTTGAAAATAAGTTGGCAACACTTATTATACTGAGACTACGATCAGCTGGTACAGTGTTTCACAGCCTTTTGAGTATTGATACTACGACTTAACCTGTTGTTTCGTGTCAACATTCTATTTTCGTTCAGCGCTTGGATTTCACCTAACCTAAAAAAAACGTGATGTTTAGTGTTTGAAAGACTAATTGTTTATAAGTAACTATAGGAAAAATATGTGTATCGTGACACACTCGAGAAGCTTCCCACACACGCCTGCGGCTCTACCATTAACATTTCTGTCATGTGCAGCGAAGTGCCATTTTGCGCTTAATAACACAAATAACTATTGTATATGCTCCTTAGGCATAACCTTTATTTAGTGTCCATTTTATTTGCTACCTTTTACAAACATATTTATTGATTTGTTGGCTCTTACAATAACCTATGAAATTTAACTAATATCATCTATAAGTATTAAAACCCATCGATCCTGCCCTGTACACCAAGATCATGGCGAAGGGTGGATTAGTATTTTCAATGTATGTATTGTTACAAATGTTCTAAAGAACTGTTTTTATAGATTCATTGGATATGTTACATGGTCTGTTTCAGTCGCTTGTTGGGTGTGATCACCAAGAAAGATGTGTTGCGGTACATCAAGCAAATAGACAACGAGGACCCCAGTACCGTGCTGTTCAACTGAACTCGCATCACTTCACTCGGTTGATTTTGTGATAACATTAATTTTTATTCTCAGTGTATTATTATCGTAATAAATTTTACTCACCCTTTTATAGACCATGGTTATATATAGTCTTTCAAGAGGAATCCTTAGTCAAAAATGTTGCATGAAACAGGTATTATTATTTAAGGTATAGGTTATCTTTTACGATATTTTCGGCTACTTAAAATGTTATGTAGGGCAAGTGATTGTTTTTCTTTGAAAATTATGGTTAGTTAATTTGTTTAGATTATGCAATTTTGTAACTGCTATGAAATTTGTTTTCGGTCATAAAAGGGTCGCCTATATTTATTTTTAATTTTTACTATAATTTTATGTAGTCTTTACTATGGTTAATTATGTGTGTAAATACATATACATATTTATACTAGGCTACTAGAGGATTAAATGTAAATTGTTGAAGAAGAAATGTTGATATGACGATAATTTCATACTGTTTAAATAGTTTTAGTCTAATCTCATAGTTATTTCAATATGCAATAGGTACAATAATTGTGTATGTCTAACATTATTATTATTTGTTGATTTTATATTTGTTTTCAATTGTACTGACCATAAATGTTTCTAATTGTTTCATGGTGATAAATTAATTTTATATTGATATTCAGAGTATTTATTTCTTTATTATTTAATATATACATGTATACTTTTTTAAATCAATAGCCTTGTTTTAGTTACTTATTCATGTTCATAATTTTATTTGTAGTAATAAAATTTTAAAAAATCTCTTGGTTCTTAAGGAGTTTATTTTAACTGCCTTGGAAATGTATTTACACAACACTACAGAACTTCCCACACAAGGATTTAATCCTGATTGAATCCTTAATCAAACGTACTACTGTACTGAGATGAGTTTCACCGGACACCAACCAGCTGATTATATTTGGCAACGAGTGGTGATAAACAAAAACATAACCTCTCTTAGAGGTTATGAGTAGTGATTGTTAGTCCTTTAGTCAGTGGGTTGTATAAGGATTTTGTTATTGTTCAGTTAAATCAAATCAAATCATCCTTTAATCATTTTGTACAAAATATACATGAATAGTGTCAATTATTAAGAATACCAAAATAAAAATAAAATATAAGCTGTACAAAAGTCAGCGCAAAAAATCTTTGAGCTTTATAGCAACATATGTTACATAGCAACTTAAATAAATGTTTTTTTTAAATGACATGAGGGAAGGTGCAGACTTAATGGAATCAGGCAGGTTATTATAAAATTTAATACCAGAGTAGTGGGGCAAAAGTTCAAAGGTAGAAGATTTGTGTTTGGTAAATGAAAGGCAGTCTTTGTGTCTGGTGTCATAATTGTGGTTGTCTGAACTAACAGAAAATTTAGAGAGATTTTGTTTCATAAAAATTAGTAAATTATAGATGTACAGGCTAGGAAAACTAAGAATGTTATTGATTTTAAATATATCTTCATATGCCTGCTTATTTAGTGCGTCTGCCCACACCTCCGCACCGTACAGGAGTACGGACTGGACCGAAGACATTAACAGCCTTCTACGACTGGACCGAGGCCCTCCGACATTGGCCATCAACCGGCTAAGAGAAGAAACCACCCTAGCGGCCTTGTCCGCTGTACGGAAGATCTGATCCCGCCAGCTAAGCTTGCTGTCTACCATGACCCCAAGATACTTGGCAGAACGAACAGTTTGAACCTTGACGGCTCCCACCCTCAACGGCGGCACGATGGTGTCAATCCGTTTTTTTGTTAAAATCACGATCTCGGTTTTGCTCAGAGCAAGCGAGAGACCGTGGTCTGCCATCCATGCGTTTATGGTACGCATAACTCGGTTTAGCTTTAGCTGAGCCAGCTCAACGCTACGTGCAGCTATCAAAGCTGCAACGTCGTCTGCGTACCCAACCAAAACCGTTTCCTCAGGCATTTCAGACCTCAGAAGGCTGTCATAAGCGACGTTCCAGAGGTCTGGGCCGAGTATGGAACCTTGGGCAGCACCAGAAGTGACACTCATTGTCCGCGGGCCCTCCGCAGTGTCATACGTTAGGAGGCGAAACCGGAGATAATCCTCTATGATGCGCATGAGGTATGCCGGCACGTGGAAGGTGTTCTCCAGAGCGTACAGCATATCGCACCACCTCGCAGAATTAAATGCATTTCGCACATCGAGCGTTACAAGCAGCACAACCCTGCGAGAGTAGTGGTTAAAATCCTCAGCTCTCATCACGGCTTGCTTCACCTCCTCAATCGCATCAATCGTTGATCGCCCCATCCTGAATCCATACTGACGAGGGGAGAGGTCCCCCGCAGCGACAACGGCTGAATTTAGCCGGGAACGGATCAATTTCTCGAGGACTTTGCCAGCCGTATCCAACATACACAGAGGTCTGTAAGAGGATGGCAGATCTGGGTCTCCCTTGCCCTTCCCAACAAGCACAAGCCTAGCTGTCTTCCAGCACAAGGGGAAAACCCCTTCAACCAGGCAGGCGTTGTACATGCTCAAAAGGATCAAGGGGTTGGTAGTCAAAACCTTCTTGAGGACTTCACCGGGTACCCCGTTAACAGTAATGAAACAAGTTGAAGTTGAAGTTTATTCTGAACCTCAAAAGGTATCTTAAATACTATAACTAGTACAATTCAGTTTCACATCAATATTTACTAAACACAAAGAAATATTGACCACTAAATGTTCTAATTAATCTAATATTCATGTTTATGTTGGTGTTGGAAGTTTAATTAATTTTTTTTTTTTTTTTTTATGAATAATTATGTTGTATTGGGTTTTAAGATTATCAGTCACATTCACATATTTATGTAATGTCACGGTCAGGAGTCGATCTCTTTCAGTTTTGATTGCATACTTAACATTTTATTATTATGTGTATTTTTTTGTAACCTTTACCTTTGTAACCAGCTAAGTAAAAAGTTTTTGCGTGTAGGTTTTGAGATTCGCGATTCGATTTTTTAAAGTTTGGGTTTCGGTTTTGAGATTCAAAATTTCTGGTTTTGACCATCCACCACTAGTAACGTAATATAACTATTACAATATTTATGAATGAATGAAAACGTCCTATTTTTTTCAAAATAAGTGAGTACAATGACTTTCTTAGCACTACATACAACAATCATTAAGACCGTCTGTTGCGGCTGGCGTACCTGGTCATCAGCACTTAAATAAATATCAAACAGCAATAATTAAATTAAATCAAACTGTACTTCTAAAACAAATTAAAAACCAAAAAAATATATATTTTTTGTAAAATGAAGGTATTATAACAAAAAAAAGAACATATTTTTTACTTTCTCCCCCTATACCAAAGACTGTATATGGAGAAAGTATTGTGTTTTTGCCAAAATTTTTGAGTTTGAGTTGATATATCTGGGGGACCCAAAAAAGTGGTTTTTGGAAGTGATGTCTGTGTGTCTGGATGTGTACAGAGCTAGGGACCTGTGGTCCGCCTTTGATGAAATTTGTTGTGTAGGTTCTAATCCATGGTATCTCCAGGCATTTTTTTCATTTTTTGGAAATTTTGATTTTTAATGTTGGATTCCTATAAAATAACAGAAAAATCTGAGTTTCCAAAGAATGGCCCAAACGATCTTGATAAAAATTTAGTATGTAGTAGCTCTTTAAATTTAAAACAAACTGGTATGACTCCCATTTTTGTAAAAATATGGTTCAACAGTTATTGTAACTTATGTTATTTTTCCATAAAAAACCTTAAATTAACAAAAAAAAACTGATTTTTGGAGAAAAGCTGGTTATAATTCTAAAAAAATAGTACAACACCCCATTGCTGTAACAATTGCGGTTCAAAAGTTATTGCAACTTTTGTGATTTTTAACTATAAAATATCATATTTACTCTAACCGCGCTTACGTTGACAAGCTTATGGGAGAAAGTATGTGTCAGAATGCAGATACTGTTTATTTAACAACAATATAGTTAATAACTATTAATAAAAATAGCCTTTACTTTTTTTTGCTTTAAAAAAAATAAAAAAATAATAGGCCTAAATCTTTCCATACAATCCAGAGATATTTTAACAAAAAGAATATAACAACAACTAAACACTTTCTTAAACAATTAAGACTTTACTAAACAATTAAATAAATAATAATTTTTTTTTAAGAAATTTGGAAAATAATTGTTCAAATATCTAATTCTTGAATTAACTCCTATGTTTTTGACCAAGCTTATTAGGGTCCTACCATTCAAAAGCTCTATTTATTGATCCCAAGTCAAACAGCCAAAATAAAAAATTCTTATTATGTTTAAAATGGGACATACAGATATAAAGTCAAAAGCATTTTCTTTCTCTTGTAAGTTACAAAGTGTGAATAAATGATGATTGTTTGCATGCCACGGTTTGAAGTTGATAAGGTTAATACTATTACAATATTTGGATTACCTTACTTAACTTAACATGCCATCAATGTAAATAAATCTCATCAGCAGCAATAATTGATTGAGAAATTACTTTATATGATCCATGATTCAAGAGGTTAGTGATGTGTCAAAACCAAATCTCAAAACCACTAAAACTTAACAGTAATAATGAAACAATTAAATTGTATTCTGAACTTCAAAAGGCGTTTGACTACTGTAACTGCTACGACATACAATTCAGTTTCATAACGATGTTTACTAAACACAAAGAAATATTAATCATTAAATGATTTAATTAATTTAAAATTCATGTTTATGTTGGTGTCAGGAGTTAAATGTATTGAATATTTGTTGTGTATAAAAAATTTTGTTACTTGGGGTTTTAAGTTCAGTCACAATTTTATGTTATTATGTCAGGGTCAGGAGTCGATGTATTTCAGTTTTGATTGCATACTTAATATTTCATTATTACCTGTAATGTTTTATAGCTTTGACCTTAATAAAAGTTTGCATTTTGATTTTGTTAAATTTAAAATTCCCATGTTATTCTTATAGATAAAAAGAAAACTCTTGTAGTTAACTTGTTTATGGATATATGTTGATAAATTTTGGCAAATTTATTTATTTTATACTATACTATTGACGTTTGGTCAAAAAACACTTTTTACCTTCCCCGTAGCTGCAAACTAAAGCCTAGTCCACATATGAAGACTGAGTCGGCAGACAGTCGACCGATCGTCTGTCAACACAGTTTCGGATACAAGTTTCCGATGTGTTTTGCGTCCACACTAGCCAGCCAGTGTTTCTTGGTATGGCGACCAAGGAGAACGTTATTATATCCTGTGTGGGCTTCAGAACCATGGTGCTAAGAACCTAGGAATAGACAATGATGGACCCATTGGACAACATTTTCTCGAGCAAGGTTCGTCACAATCTTCTATCAGACCTTCAGATTAGGTGAAGGAATTAGGAACTTCGCTAGGTTCAAAAGATTTTGAACTTTTGTTGGGCTTTGTTGTCCTAAAATTTAAAACTTGAAGAGATGAACAATTCGATAAAATGTCATATAATAATATAAATTATTAAAAACTAATTCCAACTTTCAAGAAACTCAATCCAGCTATTTTAATACCACCCAAAAATTGTCATATTACAAATGCCACAACAAATGTCATATTATTGGCCGCTTTGCAAGCCAACTAAATGGGCTGAATGTTGAACACCTTCGGCTTGTATCCAGTCTCCTGTCTCCAGACACGTCCACACATGCAGACTTGAGACACAAGTTTTGTCTCTTGTCTCGTGTTTCCCATTGGAACGGGAAACAGAAAACACTGTATTTTGTCTCCAGAAACACCAAAATTTGTCAGT